GACATCGATAGAATCGACGCTAGGAAAGTTGTCTATCTCATCACCCACATCACCCAGGTCAACGTCTTCAGCAGAATTATTGCCCAGAAGGGAAACAGACGAGGTCGTAGCTTCAGAGGAAACACATATGGTTGGACAAGAGATAGGGAGCCTGAAAGATTTGTACAGGAAGGACTTCTGTAAAATAGTCTCTAAGGGTCGAAGGATCGAGACACTAACGACCAACAAGGAAAACTCTAGCAGTAGAGTAAGGATTCAAGAAAAGCGAAAGAGTAGACAGTGAGTGATCTCGATTCCTAAAGTAACAAAAATGAAAAGTCCAAAAATTCAGTAACCACCTCAGATTTGAGTGATCCGGAATGAAGAAGTGATTAAAAGCCAGGAAGTGTACCTAATCGAGGACGAGAGACGAATCAAATGCCCAAAGCAAAATCAGAAAGCGAGCCTTGCAAGACCATTGAGTCAAATTAGGGAAAGCCAATTTTTCAGAGCCCTAAGAACACCAGCAAATTGGGGGAGCTAGAATCTCTAGGAAGAATGAAAAGCCTAAAAAGAGAAATCGAAAGGAGAAGTGAGGCGGTCTCCATCTTCTCAGAAGCATTTAAAGCTTACGGTACGTGGGTCTTTGAAGTGTGAAATGTGCGCAAAAATGAGACAAAAATGATTACACATAACTGTCAGAAAAACCTCTTCAAGCGCAAATCGAGGTCGCCATATGGAGGTTTGTCTCAACCCAACCTTAGCTCAGCCGCTGCTCAAGACCACTTTGACCAGGGACTGGGGGTAATTGATGATACTAAGAAAGAATTCTGAGTCTGAGACTAGGAGCTGAGGTTAGGAAGGGAGCTCAACTCATGGAGCCTAAGTTCTGAGGTCCAGATCTAAAACTCCATCAACCTACACCTTGAAGTAGATAAGTAGAGGACAACTGGCATTCACGAGGCATCCCCCCAATGGCAACAAGCCCCAATCTAGGCACAAAATTCTCAAACCACCACAACCGTCGCCTAGGATCAAGCAAGACACCACGGGAGGAAGACAAAAATCTTGCCACAGATCCCATAGAACTAGGAATTAGACTATAAATATTGTGCAATGCCTCCAATACGAGGCAAGTAACTCTAGTGGTATCAAAAACACTCTGTGAATCACACACACAATTAATACAGATCAAAAGAGCAAGAAACTCTTATTAGAGTGGATTAGCCGAACTCTCGAACTGATGAACCACTATAATTTTACTGTGTGAAGCGTTCCTTATTTCCAAAAAAGCCAATACACCATTTACACGAGCATAGTAACTCAGATCCAACAGAGCAAATAAATCTATACACCATCAATGCTCATCTACATTCATACACCATCAGTTTTATTGTATTAAAGATTTCCTAATATAATGGAAGAATTATATTATCAAAAAATTTTCATCTAATGTTGATTGTGTATATCTAAGCCATTTTCAATTTTTAAAAGTTTGTTTTTCATTACTGTTGACATTAAAATATCTCTCTTCTTCTTCTCCAAAATACCAGCTATTATTATTTGGAAAAGCTCAAACATAACATCCTTCTTATATTCCAACATTCAAACATTATCAGGTTTGAATTTATGCCTACATTCAATTTTGTTTAATTTTTTTGTTCATACTACTGGTAGTTATTCCAAAGATTTTTTTTTTTTACAGAGTTTTCATATTTGATATAAGAGCACCACAGTGGATGGTGTTGTTCTAAGACATTGTTTATTTTTGTTGGTTACCCACTTATGCACATACATTACCGTTTATATATATATTTTTTCTAGTTTTCGTTTTGATCTAAGGACACCACTTTGTATGGTGTTTTCATGTACCAGAATAGTGTTGCAATACAGTGTATACAATGTTAAAATATAGTGAGAAATAAGTTACAATGCATTGTTAACCTCCAAAATATATCAATATAGTGTCGGCATCCATTTTAATTTTACTCGTACATATTGAATCCCCAATTTTTCAAATAAAGATGAAGAACCCCAAAACAAGAACACAAAAACCTAACCATTGAATTAGAAGCAACAATCCACTAGACACAATTGAAACTTCTGTGCCACAAAATACTTTTCATCCAAATGAGTCGCAACAAAGAAAACGGAAAGTGTGAAGGAAAACAAATAACAAGATGATAAAAAAACAATAATGAACAATACAAATTAGGGTTTAACAATTAAACTATTTACAGTATATCAATACAGTGTTGTAATGATAGTTTGAGAATACAGATTCCAAATTTCTAATTATTCTACAATTACAAACAGAAATTTAAAAAAAGACACGATTTACCCTAAATTACAAAAAAAAAAATTAGAAAACAAACCCACATTCAACAATACAAAATAGGGTTTTGAAATTATAAGAGGTTGGTTCATAATTCAACTAAAAAGTGAATTAATATAATGTTACCGCAAATTTTTTTATGATGCAAATCCGTAATTTTAAGTGTTTTAACATATAAAAGGTGATCATAGTGGTGTTCAATGCTTTAAGAAGCAATTACACGGAACAAAAAAAGTTTCGAACGCCGTTTGAATTCAATGTCAATCTTGTTCTTCAGTTCTACTCTCCAGTAGAATACCGACAGTCTCTTGGGCAGCACACCAGGGCCGCCCCAACATCATTGTAGATAAAACTTGGGCTTTAAGCCCATAATTCGAGAAGGCCCCACAAATTGAATTATATAATTAATTCACATAAAAAATTTAATTTTACAAAAATTTTAAGTCCGCTCAAAAAATTTAAGTTCAATCAAAAATTTTAATTTCAATCATTTGGGCTCATGATTCAACATATAATATTATAAACTCAAAAATCAAAAGTAAAAAAAAAAAAAAAAACTAAACGCATAAAAAAAATTTACTCAAAAGTCAAATTATATTTATCTCACATTTACTCTCTTCTAGTAAAAAATAAAAATAAAAGTTAAAACATCTCTATCGACAACATTGATTCTTCTATCACACACACATATAATAAATAAAAAATAAATTAATTTTTAATAAAAATTAATTTTAAAAATAAACGACCTCATTCGATATTATCACTTTAGATTTCAAAATGTTTTGAGCCGCCCCGGCAGCACACCCAAATCAGAATGAGACAAGAACTTCATCTTCGTAATCCACTGCAACCTTCACGTGATTTATCGTTTTGATTGAAGTTTTTTTTTCAAATTTTCGTTTGTTTTGCTCGGTGACTGCCGAAGTTGAAGCATTGTGTTCACTTTGGCAGCACACACAACTTGGAAGATCAAGAACTTGATTTTTGATAACCCACCGCAACCATCAAAGCTTCGTATCTTAGAACCCAATATTTTTGTTCGGATTTTTTGGAACGACTTGACTATATACTCTTTAGAAATTTAAACAGTTGTAATAAATGGAAGACGTCGGTTGTTTTGTTTGTGATTTGCCGAATTTAAAGTGGATACTCCGATTTAATTGAAATATATTTAATTTTTATTTTATTTCTTCCAAATCCGGATTAGGAAACTGTTGCATATTAAAAAGATAGTCATACCTTTCTAACTCGACGGAGGACTTTTTTACAAAATATTTTCCACTGTAGACTTGTTTACTAATAAATTTAATTTAGTCTATCAGCCACCAAAGGACCTTAAAATTGTTATGGTATGAACCCGACCGTATAAAAACTGTATTATATATGACTACAAATGAGTTATGCATGTAAATTTTGACATGCTACAGACATAACAAGAATCCCAAAAGCGACGCAACTCATTAACAAACTAGTGCTTATGGACTAGAAGTATGATACCAAGCTATATTTGAGAATCATTGATCATAACACCTTAGAATTGAGAATCTGACATGAAAGTTGTGTCATTCAGTGGAGATGATGCAGTTTTTCATTCCTTATACCATGGCGTTATTAGTAAACAAAATTAACACTGCAGATCCAGCCACCGTTCAACAGTATGTCTCCATACTTTACACCATGAATCAGCTACTAAAAAAATATCAACTATGCGACTTCAAAGTCATTCATGAAAGTTCTTGTTATCTAAATGCGCACAAACAAAGAAAATAATATATAGCATGGTGGGTTGTGTATTGCCTTCAACTACGTTACATCACATATCACGCACTGACCAAGAAGAGTGACTCATAAAGGATCAACATCCCCATCATTATCCACTTAACCCATCCTTTCCAGCTTTTATTATGGATTTTATTGATTTGCTCAAGTACAAAGTAGAAAGATTCACCCAAAAAGAGGAGGAAAGCCATGAAAGTTAAGTGGATCCACCGTGATAGTGAGTCTATATTGAGTGAGGACTTTTCTTTTAAAAAAGATAAGGATAATTTTACAACTTTTGTTGGCCCATTAAATAACACAGACAAAACCCCTATTATGACAATTGGAACTAAAATAGGTGCCAGTGCCAGTTTGTGGAAGTGGAATCAGTGAACAAGCAAGAAAACGGCCGGTTTGGCACCCTTGCAGCTTCTTTCTCAAAGTCAAGTTTCGTTTTTTTTGAGGAGATATTATAGTACTTTAGAAAGACTGCAGGGCTGAGGTAAAAGCTATCAATAAATAAGATATGACAAATACATGAGTGTTTTCGAATTTATGAACCCAAAATACAACACTTTTAAAGTGGTAACAGCTTATAAAACATGCATGTTTTCTAGATTAATGATAAAAGGCTTTCTTGGAACTTTTGTACATTTTCAAGGCAACGTAGATCAAGATTATTAGATATCATTTGCATTCATCTTATCACAGTTTTAGCACCTTCAACTAGCTCACTAGTTTCCTTAATTCAGAACAGACATCTGGCCTCAGTTACATTCCTTGAAGCTAGGAGGATTGACAGGATCTTATAAGAAATTTCTAAATGAGGCCATTGTCTTAAGCATGAACGGAAAACAATAGGCATGGTAATTTGAATTGCAACCTTTTTTCTGATTTCCATTTTGATGATGTTACTGGGGACATAATTTCACGCCCAAAGGGCAAGGATAGACATTGACGTAGAGCCAAGGACAAGGGCAATAAAAGATGCCTTTTTCAACCATGGTTGGGAACCCATCAACTTGTTATGAAAGAAATCAAGAGCTATGAGATCTACCAGACCCATATAGATGAGAATACCAGACGATAGGGACCCCAACAACCCTTCCAGAATCAAGGCATTAGGGCTGCTGTCATTGTAGCCAGTCACCGAGAACACAATCATTCCCAACACTATCCCCATTGGAGTTGTCACTGAAAACATAAAGCACATGTAGGCCGTTGTTCCAAAGCTGAAACTCGCCTGTCATCATTACAATTGTTCCAATTACAATTACAAAATTAATAGATAAAATATGAAATGACTTCCATAGACAACCACAAATTCAACTATAGGATTAACAGGCAATCGATCATTAAAATCAGGCACTGGATGGCAACACAGGTTGAACTAATCTTCACCGGCCCCCCCCCCCCAAAAAAAAAAAAACAAGGGGTAAACAAAAATATCAGTACAAACTTTTTTTTTCCGTAAAAGTTACTGACTGACAGCTTGGATATAGGTTAAATAGACATAGGAGTACTATACATTAGCAGTTTATCTAAAAAGGGTAAGACTGCCTATCACTAACTTTTTCTACAACATGCCATAGGCAGGACTCAAAAGCCATTTTCTACAACATGCCATAGGCAGGACTCAAAAGCATGTGTCCTAAGGATGGCCTTGTAAGCTTAGGCGGGTAAGTTAACTACTAATTTGTGTCTTAAACTCCGTATCTTACTTGGGTGCTCACTAAACTTGACAACATCTTGGAAAAGTGCAACTCTTAGGCCAGGTATTATCCCCACGGGTAAAATCCATGGATTTAGAACTCCTTAAAGTCTCTTATATTTACCTTAAATTGGTTCAGAAGATGCTACTCTGCTACTTAAGTTGTCACTTTGTATTTTTTGATAATGGACATCAGTCACATTTGGTCATTTACGTGCATTTCATCGCACTAGTGCTCATACAGACTTATGCTATATTGATTCAAATCTACTTACCGGATTCCTTCAATTCCCTTAGTGTAACAACACCAACCAAATCCTAGTTGAATATATTGGTTCTCCCACCACCACCACCACACGGTGGATGATGTAACCATATCCACGCCCTCTCTTACGAGCTGCTTACTAACAGCATTTTGCATCTTTAGTCCAATACTCTGCAATTTTGATTGACACTGATTGTTCTTTAACTCTCAATCTAACATCTCTAATTGCAATGAATAGGAAGTACAAAATGCAGTGAAACCCGTGGCGTGGCTGCTCTTCTTCTTCTTATTCTTGGTGCAAGAAGAAGAAAACTATCTTCCTATTCTAGAATCTATACCACTGAGCGCCCCACCCCCCCTCCCACAAAAAAAAAAAAACACACCTTCTCTCTCTTCCTCAAAACCCATACACAAAGCCAAAACCCCCTTTAGCTGGGTATTAACTTCACTAACCAGTACGCCGCGGTTGCCTCCAAGCATCTGTGTCAATATTAAGAATATGAATTAAAGTGTTCAACTGGAATATATTAATTATATTTGAACCGATTCTTCACCAAATCACATAAATAATCAGTTATTAAAATAATGGAAAGATCCTAATTCCAACTTGATCCTCTCTCTTATTACTAATATACACTCTACTCCCAAAAGCACCATATCGGTGAATAACACTAAATCACAATTAATTATGAGCCAGTGTTTTACTTTACCTGAGCAATGCAACCTCCGAGACCCATCCCTTCGAAGATCTGATGGAACGCCAGAGCAGCAACTAGCGGCCTGATCGTACACTGATTCTGAGACATCCCCATCGTCACCCCTATGATCACCGAGTGAAATATAATCCCTATCTCCAACACCTGCGACACCAGCCTCTGCTTTAACTTCACCAGTTCTTCCGATTGCCGGTCGTCGACCCCCAATTCCACTTCTGTCTCCGCCGATTTCTTACACGCCGTCCCCAATCCCTCATGTGTCCCAATCGGCGTATATTCACTACTCCCCTTGTTGCCATGGCTATGGCTGAAGTAATAAAACACTCAGACCATCCTAACCCTTCACAGTGGAATAGATCACCATAGCCAAACTACTTAAATTGTACTTTTGCCTGTCTTGATTCTCTTTGAAACATTAAATACTTGACATGTGGTGCATAAGCATATTTTATGCATCATTAGATACGATAAATAAAATAAAAATTTTAGCTATAAATAAAAGACTAAAAATACCATCATATTTATTTATTTATTATTTTTTTTGATCAACTTGAGTGATTGTAAGAGCATCTCCAACGAGGAACGCTACTCTTTCCTTTTAGTTGTTTTGACGAGCAATCCTCACAAATTTAGCTCTAGCTATCCACCTCACCAAAATCTAGGAAGCAAAATTTGCTCGCCAAATCTAGCGAGGGAAAATTGTTCACCAGTTGCTGCTGCTGTTGTGAACCAAATATTCCTTGTTGCTGATGTGAACTAGATGAGTGAAATACCCCATCCCTTCCAAATTCTGAAACCCCCTAAAAATTTTGAAAACTCTCTTAGTTTTTATGTATAATAGAATATTTATATTTAGACCTTCATGAAATATTAATGTAAATATTTGAGACATATTTGAAATGTGCGCAAAAAATGAGACAAAAATGATTACACATAACTGTCAGAAAAACCTCTTCAAGCGCAAATCGAGGTCGCCATATGGAGGTTTGTCTCAACCCAACCTTAGCTCAGCCGCTGCTCAAGACCACTTTGACCAGGGACTGGGGGTAATTGATGATACTAAGAAAGAATTCTGAGTCTGAGACTAGGAGCTGAGGTTAGGAAGGGAGCTTAACTCATGGAGCCTAAGTTCTGAGGTCCAGATCTAAAACTCCATCAACCTACACCTTGAAGTAGATAAGTAGAGGACAACTGGCATTCACGAGGCATCCCCCCAATGGCAACAAGCCCCAATCTAGGCACAAAATTCTCAAACCACCACAACCGTCGCCTAGGATCAAGCAAGACCCCACGAGAGGAAGACAAAAATCTTGCCACAGATCCCATAGAACTAGGAATTAGACTATAAATATTGTGCAATGCCTCCAATACGAGGCAAGTAACTCTAGTGGTATCAAAAACACTCTGTGAATCACACACACAATTAATACAGATCAAAAGAGCAAGAAACTCTTATTAGAGTGGATTAGCCGAACTCTCGAACTGATGAACCACTATAATTTTACTGTGTGAAGCGTTCCTTATTTCCAAAAAAGCCAATACACCATTTACACGAGCATAGTAACTCAGATCCAACAGAGCAAATAAATCTATACACCATCAATGCTCATCTACATTCATACACCATCAGTTTTATTGTATTAAAGATTTCCTAATATAATGGAAGAATTATATTATCAAAAAATTTTCATCTAATGTTGATTGTGTATATCTAAGCCATTTTCAATTTTTAAAAGTTTGTTTTTCATTACTGTTGACATTAAAATATCTCTCTTCTTCTTCTCCAAAATACCAGCTATTATTATTTGGAAAAGCTCAAACATAACATCCTTCTTATATTCCAACATTCAAACATTATCAGGTTTGAATTTATGCCTACATTCAATTTTGTTTAATTTTTTTGTTCATACTACTGGTAGTTATTCCAAAGATTTTTTTTTTACAGAGTTTTCATATTTGATATAAGAGCACCACAGTGGATGGTGTTGTTCTAAGACATTGTTTATTTTTGTTGGTTACCCACTTATGCACATACATTACCGTTTATATATATATTTTTTCTAGTTTTCGTTTTGATCTAAGGACACCACTTTGTATGGTGTTTTCATGTACCAGAATAGTGTTGCAATACAGTGTATACAATGTTAAAATATAGTGAGAAATAAGTTACAATGCATTGTTAACCTCCAAAATATATCAATATAGTGTCGGCATCCATTTTAATTTTACTCGTAAATATTGAATCCCCAATTTTTCAAATAAAGATGAAGAACCCCAAAACAAGAACACAAAAACCTAACCATTGAATTAGAAGCAACAATCCACTAGACACAATTGAAACTTCTGTGCCACAAAATACTTTTCATCCAAATGAGTCGCAACAAAGAAAACGGAAAGTGTGAAGGAAAACAAATAACAAGATGATAAAAAAACAATAATGAACAATACAAATTAGGGTTTAACAATTAAACTATTTACAGTATATCAATACAGTGTTGTAATGATAGTTTGAGAATACAGATTCCAAATTTCTAATTATTCTACAATTACAAACAGAAATTTAAAAAAAGACACGATTTACCCTAAATTACAAAAAAAAAAAAAAATTAGAAAACAAACCCACATTCAACAATACAAAATAGGGTTTTGAAATTATAAGAGGTTGGTTCATAATTCAACTAAAAAGTGAATTAATACAATGTTACCGCAAATTTTTTTTTGATGCAAATCCGTAATTTTAAGTGTTTTAACATATAAAAGGTGATCATAGTGGTGTTCAATGCTTTAAGAAGCAATTACACGGAACAAAAAAAGTTTCGAACGCCGTTTGAATTCAATGTCAATCTTGTTCTTCAGTTCTACTCTCCAGTAGAATACCGACAGTCTCTTGGGCAGCACACCAGGGCCGCCCCAACATCATTGTAGATAAAACTTGGGCTTTAAGCCCATAATTCGAGAAGGCCCCACAAATTGAATTATATAATTAATTCACATAAAAAATTTAATTTTACAAAAATTTTAAGTCCGCTCAAAAAATTTAAGTTCAATCAAAAATTTTAATTTCAATCATTTGGGCTCATGATTCAACATATAATATTATAAACTCAAAAATCAAAAGTAAAAAAAAAAAAAAAACTAAACGTATAAAAAAAATTTACTCAAAAGTCAAATTATATTTATCTCACATTTACTCTCTTCTAGTAAAAAATAAAAAATAAAAGTTAAAACATCTCTATCGACAACATTGATTCTTCTATCACACACACATATAATAAATAAAAAATAAATTAATTTTTAATAAAAATTAATTTTAAAAATAAACGACCTCATTCGATATTATCACTTTAGATTTCAAAATGTTTTGAGCCGCCCCGGCAGCACACCCAAATCAGAATGAGACAAGAACTTCATCTTCGTAATCCACTGCAACCTTCACGTGATTTATCGTTTTGATTGAAGTTTTTTTTTCAAATTTTCGTTTGTTTTGCTCGGTGACTGCCGAAGTTGAAGCATTGTGTTCACTTTGGCAGCACACACAACTTGGAAGATCAAGAACTTGATTTTTGATAACCCACCGCAACCATCAAAGCTTCGTATCTTAGAACCCAACATTTTTGTTCGGATTTTTTGGAACGACTTGACTATATACTCTTTAGAAATTTAAACAGTTGTAATAAATGGAAGACGTCGGTTGTTTTGTTTGTGATTTGCCGAATTTAAAGTGGATACTCCGATTTAATTGAAATATATTTAATTTTTATTTTATTTCTTCCAAATCCGGTTTAGGAAACTGTTGCATATTAAAAAGATAGTCATACCTTTCTAACTCGACGGAGGACTTTTTTACAAAATATTTTCCACTGTAGACTTGTTTACTAATAAATTTAATTTAGTCTATCAGCCACCAAAGGACCTTAAAATTGTTATGGTATGAACCCGACCGTATAAAAACTGTATTATATATGACTACAAATGAGTTATGCATGTAAATTTTGACATGCTACAGACATAACAAGAATCCCAAAAGCGACGCAACTCATTAACAAACTAGTGCTTATGGACTAGAAGTATGATACCAAGCTATATTTGAGAATCATTGATCATAACACCTTAGAATTGAGAATCTGACATGAAAGTTGTGTCATTCAGTGGAGATGATGCAGTTTTTCATTCCTTATACCATGGCGTTATTAGTAAACAAAATTAACACTGCAGATCCTGCCACCGTTCAACAGTATGTCTCCATACTTTACACCATGAATCAGCTACTAAAAAAATATCAACTATGCGACTTCAAAGTCATTCATGAAAGTTCTTGTTATCTAAATGCGCACAAACAAAGAAAATAATATATAGCATGGTGGGTTGTGTATTGCCTTCAACTACGTTACATCACATATCACGCACTGACCAAGAAGAGAGTGACTCATAAAGGATCAACATCCCCATCATTATCCACTTAACCCATCCTTTCCAGCTTTTATTATGGATTTTATTGATTTGCTCAAGTACAAAGTAGAAAGATTCACCCAAAAAGAGGAGGAAAGCCATGAAAGTTAAGTGGATCCACCGTGATAGTGAGTCTATATTGAGTGAGGACTTTTCTTTTAAAAAAGATAAGGATAATTTTACAACTTTTGTTGGCCCATTAAATAACACAGACAAAACCCCTATTATGACAATTGGAACTAAAATAGGTGCCAGTGCCAGTTTGTGGAAGTGGAATCAGTGAACAAGCAAGAAAACGGCCGGTTTGGCACCCTTGCAGCTTCTTTCTCAAAGTCAAGTTTCGTTTTTTTTGAGGAGATATTATAGTACTTTAGAAAGACTGCAGGGCTGAGGTAAAAGCTATCAATAAATAAGATATGACAAATACATGAGTGTTTTCGAATTTATGAACCCAAAATACAACACTTTTAAAGTGGTAACAGCTTATAAAACATGCATGTTTTCTAGATTAATGATAAAAGGCTTTCTTGGAACTTTTGTACATTTTCAAGGCAACGTAGATCAAGATTATTAGATATCATTTGCATTCATCTTATCACAGTTTTAGCACCTTCAACTAGCTCACTAGTTTCCTTAATTCAGAACAGACATCTGGCCTCAGTTACATTCCTTGAAGCTAGGAGGATTGACAGGATCTTATAAGAAATTTCTAAATGAGGCCATTGTCTTAAGCATGAACGGAAAACAATAGGCATGGTAATTTGAATTGCAACCTTTTTTCTGATTTCCATTTTGATGATGTTACTGGGGACATAATTTCACGCCCAAAGGGCAAGGATAGACATTGACGTAGAGCCAAGGACAAGGGCAATAAAAGATGCCTTTTTCAACCATGGTTGGGAACCCATCAACTTGTTATGAAAGAAATCAAGAGCTATGAGATCTACCAGACCCATATAGATGAGAATACCAGACGATAGGGACCCCAACAACCCTTCCAGAATCAAGGCATTAGGGCTGCTGTCATTGTAGCCAGTCACCGAGAACACAATCATTCCCAACACTATCCCCATTGGAGTTGTCACTGAAAACATAAAGCACATGTAGGCCGTTGTTCCAAAGCTGAAACTCGCCTGTCATCATTACAATTGTTCCAATTTCAATTACAAAATTAATAGATAAAATATGAAATGACTTCCATAGACAACCACAAATTCAACTATAGGATTAACAGGCAATCGATCATTAAAATCAGGCACTGGATGGCAACACAGGTTGAACTAATCTTCACCGCCCCCCCCCCCCAAAAAAAAAAAAAAAAACAAGGGGTAAAAAAAAATATCAGTACAAACTTTTTTTTTCCCCTAAAAGTTACTGACTGACAGCTTGGATATAGGTTAAATAGACATAGGAGTACTATACATTAGCAGTTTATCTAAAAAGGGTAAGACTGCCTATCACTAACATTTTCTACAACATGCCATAGGCAGGACTCAAAAGCTTGTGTCCTAAGGATGGCCTTGTAAGCTTAGACGGGTAAGTTAACTACTAATTTGTGTCTTAAACTCCGTATCTTACTTGGGTGCTCCCTAAACTTGACAACATCTTGGAAAAGTGCAACTCTTAGGCCAGGAATTATCCCCACGGGTAAAATCCATGGATTTAGAACTCCTTAAAGTCTCTTATATTTACCTTAAATTGGTTCAGAAGATGCTACTCTGCTACTTAAGTTGTCACTTTGTATTTTTTGATAATGGACATCAGTCACATTTGGTCATTTACGTGCATTTCATCGCACTAGTGCTCATACAGACTTATGCTATATTGATTCAAATCTACTTACCGGATTCCTTCAATTCCCTTAGTGTAACAACACCAACCAAATCCTAGTTGAATATATTGGTTCTCCCACCACCACCACCACACAGTGGATGCTGTAACCATATCCACGCCCTCTCTTACGAGCTGCTTACTAACAGCATTTTGCATCTTTAGTCCAATACTCTGCAATTTTGATTGACACTGATTGTTCTTTAACTCTCAATCTAACATCTCTAATTGCAATGAATAGGAAGTACAAAATGCAGTGAAACCCGTGGCGTGGCTGCTCTTCTTCTTCTTATTCTTGGTGCAAGAAGAAGAAAACTATCTTCCTATTCTAGAATCTATACCACTGAGCGCCCCACCCCCCCTCCCCACAAAAAAAAAAAAACACACCTTCTCTCTCTTCCTCAAAACCCATACACAAAGCCAAAACCCCCTTTAGCTGGGTATTAACTTCACTAACCAGTACGCCGCGGTTGCCTCCAAGCATCTGTGTCAATATTAAGAATATGAATTAAAGTGTTCAACTGGAATATATTAATTATATTTGAACCGATTCTTCACCAAATCACATAAATAATCAGTTATTAAAATAATGGAAAGATCCTAATTCCAACTTGATCCTCTCTCTTATTACTAATATACACTCTACTCCCAAAAGCACCATATCGGTGAATAACACTAAATCACAATTAATTATGAGCCAGTGTTTTACTTTACCTGAGCAATGCAACCTCCGAGACCCATCCCTTCGAAGATCTGATGGAACGCCAGAGCAGCAACTAGCGGCCTGATCGTACACTGATTCTGAGACATCCCCATCGTCACCCCTATGATCACCGAGTGAAATATAATCCCTATCTCCAACACCTGCGACACCAGCCTCTGCTTTAACTTCACCAGTTCTTCCGATTGCCGGTCGTCGACCCCCAATTCCACTTCTGTCTCCGCCGATTTCTTACACGCCGTCCCCAATCCCTCATGTGTCCCAATCGGCGTATATTCACTACTCCCCTTGTTGCCATGGCTATGGCTGTGACTGTGACTGTCCACATGTGAAGTTGCCGTCAAATCAACGAGCAACGCCGTCAAAACACCGATTAGGGTTACAAGCCCTGAAAACGGAAAGTCTTTCCATGGGTGGTGCGACGCCACCTGACAGTCGGAGAGGGAGTCGAATGCGTCGGGAAGTACGTGGACGAGTGAGGTGGATAGAATTACGCCGGCAGCGAAGCACTTGATTATTAGAATTGCTTTATCGTAGACGGGTTTTCCTTGAAATAAACGCGCGAGCATCACTGGCGACGATATTCCGATGACACTCGTGAAGAAGATAACGAACATCGACACGAGTTTCAGGTTCGCCGCGGCTTTGCCGTCTCGGCAAGCCAGTGCTCGTGTCGCGTCGGTCACGCACAAAGCCATAGAGGGTGTTTGGATTGTGGGCTAATGGGGGTATCAGATGTAGGATGCGATAAAAAACTAATGGACCCATTTATAGCAATCATGAAGTGAATTTGAAGGTTGGACAGCCGGAAAGGATTTACTCGCGGCCCGTAGTCTACGGAGCTTTTAAACCTTATCTTTAGTAAAATTTAGAAGTAAGTCACCATACATATATTTGTTTGAAAATAAGTTATGCAAAAAAAATTATAAGGGGTTAAGTTCATATTTAAAATTATGTATAATGATTTAAATCTATTTTTTTTTATTTCAAAAGTACTCTTTCTTAAAAAGAAGTTAAATTAATTTTTTATTTTAAAAATTGTTATCCCTTAATTCAATGTCAATTAAAATATACCAATAAAATCTACATCATAAATTTAAAATTTAAATTCAAAACTCTCTCTCTCTCTCTCTCTCTATATATATATATATATATATATATATATAATAAAACAGGAGTGTGTTTGAATTTTATCCTAGTCATATTTTTTCCCTCAAAACCATCATCAATTACTTATCTTATCCATTATACATTTGTCAGACTCAAACGTCAAATCACATTACTTATTTCTATCACATATTTAATCATTTATATATTTTTTCAGTAAAAATATCACACCACTAATTTCTATCATATATTTAATCATTTAATATTTAATTAATTTTTAGTTAATATATTTTGAAAAAATTTAATATAGTGAAATCGATTTTTTGAATGTTCGAATTTTATATTTTATTGTACCTTCAAGTACGGGTTATGACTAGTATATATATATATATATATATATATAAAACCAAAGCTTGGCGGTAAGAGAAGCAATGACTCTCATCGTCTTTGCTTTCACCAACCAAAACCTTCTTTCACAGAACACAAAAGGCATTATTTTGGAGTCGAGGCGTCAAAGTTGCAGCAACTACAATCCAAGGCATGCCAAGCTTCACAATTTGTGGCAAAAGTATGATACTGGCTACTACAAACTGATGTTGGAACAAACACAAGCAGTACATCGAGAAACCACCCACTGTGGAGAAATGCAACCTGCTGGCCAAGCAGTTGCTTTACACTATTCTTACTAGCATTCCTGGTCGATGTGAGTCATTTTGGAAGGAAGTTGATTACGTGAAGCACGTGTGGAAGAACAGCCAGGAACTGAAGGTTGAGGATGCTGACATTGCTGCTTTGTTTGGGCTGGAGTGCTTTGCATGGTATTGTGTTGGTGAGATTGTGGGAAGGGGATTCACATTCACTGGTTACTATCCCTGAAGACAATTTACAAGGGTAAAAAAAAATGTTTGATTTCAAATTTAGTGTTATTTTTCATTCTCGTCGCTCTCTTTTTTACCATCTTTTGGGGTAAACTTTGTGCAATATTTATTTACATCAGCATGTTACTATGAATTGGAATAGTAAAATTCAAATTCATGTTACTATTTTTTTTATTTTGTTATTATTCATGTTACTGTTCATGTTACTATTATTTTGAATATATTACTGTTTTTGTTGAGCATGTTACTATTATTATTTTACTAAATATTAATATTCTATTTTTTGCGTTTGAATTTGAGAGAAATAATTATTGTTATGTATGTTACAGTTTTTGTTAAGCATGTTACTATTGTTGTTGAATATGTTAATATTTTTGTTGAACATGTTACTGTTGTTATTTTTTAAAAATATTAATATTGAATGTTTCAATTTATTTATGTTTAAATGTTACTATTTTTTTTTGTTTAAATGTATTATTTTTTTGTGTCCAAATAACAACTTTTTTTTTTTTTTTTTTGTTTTGAATGTTACTATTTTTTATTTTTAATGTTACTATATATATACTAGTTGTTGTCTGTGCTTGAAGGCACAAAGTAATAAAATATGATAAACAATAAACATATTTGTATTAATATTCAAAATCAAATCACAAATATAAAGGAGAGATAAATGAATTTAAACATCGGTTGTAGTGGGGGTGAGAGTTGATAGGCGACAGTGGTTGTGATAGGAGACGGTAATGGTTGTGGTGGGTGACAATGACCGTGGTGGAGGTGCCGATGGCGGCAATGGGGGGTGGTGGTGGTTGTGGCAGAGACGATAGCGACGATGATGGTGATGGGATGGTGGCGGTGGTAGTGGTGGCGGCGACGACGGCGGCCGGAGGGGGGGTGGTAGAGGTAGTGGTGGGGTAGTTTCAAACTTAATTTTTTTTAAAGTACTTATGAAAAATAATTCGTAGAAGTACTTTTAAAAAGTCACTTCAAACACACCCTTAAAAACCTATTTTCCTATTAAATTTAGAGTGTTAATATTAGCTGTTAGATTAACTTTAAAATAAAATTTAAAGCGATTTGAACTGCGAAAAGTAAAAGTCTTTTTGAAAGAGAAAAAAGTTATTTTGAAGTGAAAAGTAAAAGTCATTTTAAAAGTATTATTATATATATATATATATATATATATATATGTGAGAGAAAAAATTTTAATGTTAGTCAAACTCCTAAAATTTAGGATTTTTTAATTTTTAGTTTTATTTCACTTCTAAAGGGAAGAGATAGTATGGTAAAATTGACAAAAAATAGACTTCATAACAAATAAGTTTCATTGACAGACTTAAGTTCAAACAAATTCATATAGGGGACCGTCCTCCAAATTTTCCTTATTTATAACCCACTTAGGTGGTGGGTTAAAATTCTACCAGACATGATGGGTTTTACAATTACCATTCTACCCCTATCTTTTTCTTGTTTTTACCTCTAGTTTTTGTGCAAAACTCTAACCCCTCTTTCTGTGTCCTGCAACTCCACCATGGATAGAGAAAATAAACAAACTTCCCCTAAAAAATCATTAACAGAAAACACGTCAACTTGAGAGCTTTGGTTCGATTCATCAACATCTTCATTGGTGATTCCATGGGGAGACCAACTTGAGCTCTACCTCAAGAAATGATCGGCACCACTATCGATCTTACTAGGGTGATATTGAAAAATACTTCGGTTATTGTTTCTGATTTTAGAAGACCAACAAAGAAGATAATTTTGTATTGTTGATAAAAAATGTTTTAGGAATTTTTTATAGCAATTCTGTCACTAGTTCGCCAGAGGGTGTCTAAATTGGAGCATCTGTAACGGGAAACAATGTGATGGCCTACGTATTTTTCTTTTTATCTATTTTCTTGTGTTGGTATTTTTTTTCCCTATTTTTCTGAGTTGGTATATATATACTAGGGGTAACTCGTATCTAAAGACACGATGCAATGTAAATGTTCAGGCACGGTATAATATAAATGATTTTGGGAAAGATGTTGGTGGCTGTTAGATGAATCTATTTGAGATTGTTGGATGAGCTTATTAAAACCTACCATGTTTTATATTATAGATAAATCATTATATATATATATATATATATATATATATATATATATATATATTTGTTAGGACGAGTTTTAGTCAAATTTGTAATCCAAACAAGAGGTTGGATTGGATAGGTTAAGGATAGAATAATCAAATAACAACTCATGCTTTTGAGGCCCACAGAAATGAAAAATTACTTGCCAAACATTGAATAGGACAGGATATGACATTACATCCAACCCATGCAAGTGGGTGATTGGATTAGGCATGCATAGGAATGGACACAAATTAGATATCATATCCAATCCTTTCGAGGCATCCAAACACACCTATGGGTAGGGATAGTAGTGGGTTGGGTAAAAATGAGTATTTGTCCAAACCCGTCCCATTTGGATCGAGGATGGACAATACGTATTAGACGGTGGACATATACAGGAATACCCGTGTAAACCCATGCGGGAATGAAGGCGGGAATGGACTGACACTTACCCCCACCCCGCCTCTGCCTCTACCTCCACCTGCGCCCCCTCCCCTCCCTGCTTTACTCGTTATTATATATATATATATATATATATATATATATTGTTAATGCTCTCTTTCTAATTGTTTTGGTTGGTTAAATACATAGTCACGATTTGAACACCCTATATGACTCATGAAACACAAGATTTCAGATTACTGAAGAGCACGTATGAATAAATAAGCCACCATTGGTAAAACTATGGTAGAGTTAACATTATTACAGAAAAGAAAAGAACATCCAAGTTCTGCTATTGTTGAGAGGGAACAAAAATATCGAAAAGAGAAAACCAAGAATGTTTACACTAAAACAACCAACCCACAAATTTTTGGAACTGTTATGGCCTCTGGTTAAGATGCCTTTAGTTTTTCTTTCCAAGTTCGCCTGGACGGTTCTCTGACAGTGCTTGCAAGGCTAGTCTGGACTTTGCCATCTTAGTAATGGTCTTGGTGATCTCCTCATTTTTGTTCATAGTATTAGATTTATACATATTGCTGTGAATACAAATCTACATATTATTGAGTGATTTTTTCTTTTGAAAATTGTTTTATTTTTTGATTTTTTTCATGGCTTTGACTAGTAAAAAGCGTAGATCTTTATGCTTTTATATTTTTTAATATTGGATTATGTTATGTTATATTATATTGTGTTGGATTTGCAAGAAAGACAAACTTTTAATTATATTATGTTGGATTATATTGTAGATAAGGTTTTAACTATATTATGTTGTAAATGATAAACTTTTAATTATGTTATTATATTCTATAATTATGTTGGATTATTTATAATGTTAGATTTATTTAGAATTTTGGATTATGTTGGCTTGAGCTTGGGCTTGGGCTTGGACGGGTAAGGTGGACAACGGTGGGGATGGAGGTGAAGGCAGGGGATGGGGATGAAAATCGTATCCATTAACAGGAGTGGACTGGGGATAGACGAAATTTTTTTAAGTGGGTACAGGAATAGAGACTACACCCTCCGCCCTTGCTTCGGTCCATTGTCATCCCTACCTATGGGGTTCATAAGTATTAATCCAGTGTGACAAAAGAGTAGTTAGATAGATGGATTTGTCTATGGTACACCAAATGGCCTTGTCGGTATCCAAAAAGGTTTTGGCAGCAAAAGATTATCATAATGATGCAGAATGTGCCACGTTCAAAAGCAAAGGCAAGGCACCTAGCTTTATCGTTAATTAGGGGTGCCCATGGTCGGGTTACCCATAAATCTCGTTATCCAGCCTAAAAAAATAGGTCAAAAATTTGATAGGTCCGATAGTTGGTCAGCCCGAGCCCAATATTCTTAAAATGAGGGCTTAGGTTTGCGCCCAAATCTATTATCCGACCCAATAGCTCACTCGAAAAAAACTCGGCCCTATAGCCCACCCACCCTTCATTTGAAAAAAAGTTATACTTTTAGAGCATTAAATTTGAAACTTTGAAATAAGTCTCCCAATATCAGAATTTAAAATTTTAAAAATTTAGATACTATAAATAATGTATTATTTTCTTTTTCATGTATTAAGCATACACGTTTTAAAGAGTAAAGTAATGCAAATTATGGATAAGTGAGTAGATATCAACCTAGTTGTGATGTATTCATTTTATTAGATGTAGTTCATCCCTTAATCAAAAATAAAATTATTAATTATTTTATTTTTATCTATTTTGACTCTACTTTTGATTCAAAAATATAATTTACATAAATATTAAATTACAAAAATATTCATTCTTTTTAAATAAAGTTATATATAAAAAAGCCTGCGAGTAGGCCCGCTCAATAGGCTCTCGGGTTGGGCTGCGTGTAGTCTACCCCTACCTGATAATTTACTTAGATAAGGGCTTGAGTCTACACTGCCTAGACTCGGCCTGGCCCATGGACACCCCTGTCATTAATTCTTTACCTTGTTAAAAATTTTAATAGGAATGAGAGATTTTTTATAGTTGTGAACATAATTACGAAGTTAAATGGTAAATGACAGGACATTAGGCGGCTCGCCAATAGAAAATCGACACGTGGATACCCACAGTTGTCAGAACCCACACGACTCACTGAAAAGAGGATTTGAGAAATTATGACAAATAGGGCCGAGTGCACCCTTCGGGACCTAACAGTAAATGAGACCTTGCAACTCATTAATGTGGGTTTTGATTGGTTTGACAGATTGTTAATGAGTGGCTGGATCGTCGAAGAACGTGGAGACAATCATCATTAGGAGGCATTAATGGCCACCATGCTGACATGGAGACCTCGAGGGATCCCAAGAGTAATGATTTCGTCCTAGTGAAAGCTTTGGGCAAAAGTTCGAGTACCGATGCGAAGCATGTAATGACCGGGGATCGAGTCATGAATGCTAGGCGTTTCTCGAGAAGGGATGCAATTGTCCAAGAAAATTAATCTTAATGAGA